CATATTGATCTTATATCCTGTAACTTTGATGAACTTGTTTATTGGTGCACTTAAAATTTTTTCTGTACACAAGGTCATGTCATCTGTGAATACAGATAGATACTTTTACTTCTTTCTTTTCAATCTGGATGCCTTTTCTTTTTCTTGTCTATTTTGCCCTGGCTAGAAGCTTGTTTTGTTTTTTGTTTTTGTTTGTTTTTTGTTTCTCTAAAATAAGTAGTAATGTCCCCTCTCTGTTCCTAATTTTAGTATTTTGAGTCTTCTCTCTTTTATTCTTGGTTAGTCTATCTAAAAGTTTGTCAATTTTTTTCCCTTTAAAAAAAGCCAACTTCAGTTTCATTGATTTTCTCTGTTGTCTCTCCCTTCTGTGTTTAATTTATTTCCATTCTAGTTTCCTTCTTCCTGTTGGCTTTGAGTTTAGTTTGCTCTTCTTTTTTCAATACTTAAGTTATTGATTTGAGATCTTTTTTAACATAGGTGTTTATAGCTATAAATTTCCCTCTAAGCACAACTATAACTGCATCCCATAAGTTTTGGTATGATGTGTTTTAATTTTTATTAATCTCAAAGTTTTTTCTAATTTCCCCTGAGTTTTTTTTTCTTAATCAGTTATTTAGAAGTATGTTGTTTAATTTCCACATATTTTTGAAATTCCTAAATTTCTTTCTGCTATTGATGCCTAATTTCATTCCATTGTGATCAGTAAGCATACTTTGTATGATTTCACTCCTCTTAAATTTATTAAAGCTTATTTTGTGATCTAACATTTGTTCCCTCCTGGAGAATGTTTCATGTGTACCTGAGAGGAATGTGTATTCTGCTCTTCTTGGGTGGAAGGTTCTATAGATATCTACTGCTCTAGTTGTTCTATCCATTATTGAAAGTGGAGTGTCAACGTTTCAAACTATTATTGTTGAATTGTCTGTTTCTCCTTTCAATTCTGTCAGTTTTTGCTTCATGTATTTTGGGGTTTCATTGTTTGTCTTCCTGATGGATTTTATAATTGTAAAATGCTCTTATTTGTCTTTGGTAAAAATGTTTGTCTGGAAGTCTGTTTGGTCTGATATTAGTATAGCCACTCCAGCTTTTTCCAATGTTCTCTTTGCTTTTATGAAGGAGCTGATTTTCAAAGGCTTTTAGCTAACCATTCTGGAAAGTAGAACCTCTGACTAATTCTTAAATACTCTTATAGATAATTTTTCTGTTTTTAGGCCTACTTTCTCCCCTATTTCCAAAGTTGCCTTCTGGAGATGGTACAATACTAGGTAGCTTCATTGCTTCAATTCCTGCTTAAGATCCATTTGCTTGGGTCTGTCTGCTAAGTCATTTCCATGGATCCCTCTGCTTCCCACCTTCCAAAATTTTATAACTGTTAGCTCTTTTTCTATATTCTTTGCTCTTTATCACTTAAAAATGTCTTTCCTCTTAGATCAATGGATTTTCCAATTAAAGAGTTCAATGAGTGATTTAAACATTTAACCTGTGTTTGAGGGTAAACCCTTTAGCTGTTAGTCACTTTATTCTAAGCAACCTGAATTTTCTTGTATATTCTCCAGAATTTTAAAAAATGATCAGAGGGCTGTTTTACTATCAGGGATCCAGGCAATATCCTAAATTAAAAAATAGTGCTTGTATTAACTTTTAAATTTAGGTATGGAATTTGAACATCTTTGATTCAATGTAAGAATAATCAGCTGCTTCCAGGTCTATTCACTACTTGATTTTTCATAGAGCAGTTGTTCCCAAACTTGACCATGCACTAGAATCACCCAGAGGACCTGTCAAAATACAGGTTTCCAGGCTCCATCCCCAGGGTTTCTGATTTAGGAGTTGGAAGTGAGGCCCAAGAATTTGCATTTTCAACAAGTTCCCAGGTGATGCTGATCCTTCTGGTCCTGGGACCACACTGAGAGTCACTACCTCTGTGGTGTGTGGAATGTAAAGGTATTCCCTGTGGGGGTGGGGAGGACTTTTAGGAAGCAGATGAGAGCAGAGAGGGAGAGCAGTAAGAGGGAGATAAGCGCGGAGGAGAAGGATGTGCCCACTTGCTCTTATCCTGTTGTTCTAGCTTGTGCTCTCCTGTTTTGTCCCCTCTCTCTGCAAGGAGGAAACCATGACAAAATCTGCTTAGAGAAGAGGCTCTTGACATCAGAATTGTAATTCTATTCAAGGGGAGAAAAAAGGAGTGAAGTGACCATCCATGAAAAACATTAAACTGTAGCCCTGCAGATTTTTTTTTTTTTTTTTTTTGTAGTATGCAGGCCTCTCACTGTTGTGGCCTCTCCCATTGCGGAGCACAGGCTCCGGACTCACAGGGTCAGCAGCCATGGCTCACGGGCCTAGCCGCTCCGCGGCAACTGGGATCCTCCCGGACTGGGGCACGAACCCGTGTCCCCTGCATCGGCAGGCGGACTCTCAACCACTGCGCCACCAGGGAAGCCCGCTAATGTAATTTTATGAGATGCTCTACATGCAATATTGCTAAGGCAGCAGGATTCTGGGCAATTTTGTCAGGTAGTCACTTGTCCCCAGGTTTCAGTTATCTCCTAGGATCCCCCTTTTCCTTGTTGCAAGTCTGAGAAGGCAGGGACACTGCCTAAGCCACATAGGCAGACGGTCAGACCTAGTAGCTGGTTTGGGCCACAGGTAGAAGAAACCCAGACTTAAGGCCATTCCTCTAGATTATTTTCATGTAGCCATTTGCTGTCATTGTCTCATGTTCAGCCATCTTTCTTTGTTCTCAGAATGTTCTTCCATAGTATGGTTGCAAATATTGAGGGTTAAAGCTGTAGCTGCCAGTGACAGTATTCCAAAGGATAGAGGTAATTAGGAGGAAGCCCAGAGAAGTGAGAACTCAAAACCCTTGCCCTCTGTGAGGCTGCCTTTCAGACCCTTTTATTACAAAATGCAATGCACCTGGATAGTTCCTGCTGTCACTTCCCAAAGTAAGGAGCTGGGAGAGAGGAAACGGGGTCTGGATACATAGATGACATGAGAAAGCAGGTTGTAGGAGACTAGTTTTCCCTCTAACTTGTCACTTCCTTTCTTAGGCCTGGTGTGTGTGTGTGTAGTGTGTGTGTGTGTGTGTGTGTGTGTGTGTGTGTGTGTGTGTGTGTG